GGGCAGCAGAAGACCACACCTGCCAGCTATGAATTGGAAACTGAGGCCACAATCCACATGGGATATTTTCTTGCCCGTTTTGCAACCAGCCACCAGATCTCAGTTCAATAAAGTACTTTGAGATGTGGTGGAATGGAAGATTCCCATCACAGGATCGGCAGCAACTGTGTGATGCTGTTGAGTCAATATAGACCAAAACATCCAAAGAATGTTTCCACCGTGTCAAATTATATTCTTTTAAACTTTGCCTTCAAAACCTCTGAAGTCTAACAAGGTGTACTTAACAAATTGGCCAATGAGTTTATAATAGATTTAGAAATGATTTATAAATAGATTTTAAATTATGTAAAATTAATTTCATAATTTATGTGGAAATTTGAGAAGATAAATGTGCAAGAAGGACAATGAGAGATGATGGAGAACTAATACTTCAGAATCTGATTAATAATAAACATGTGGTACCTGGTCCAGCAACTGGTGACACCAGCTGGTGAGAGACATGGGGGTGACAGAATGACCGCAGGACATCCGGGCTCTCAGAGATTTATAATCTCTGCCCTCAACTATGAGACAAAAAGGAAGACTTAACTTATAAAAATCCTTGAAGCCCATGCTGTATTTATCTGGTTCTTTGACTACTTACAGTCCATATCATCGTCTCCTTCAACAAATGTAAGGGTGGTGTCGTTTGGGTCGTAACATTTCTCCTCTCCACTCACCAAACTGACGTCCAGACCTCCAGAAACGTCTTTTTTGCCCTTATCTCTCATCCTCCGCCGTGCATTTTCCAGATGGTTCTGCAGTTCATGGTAAAGGTCCAGGTCAGTTTCCAAGTATCTGCGCCTTGAGGGATCAAAATTATCCCAAAGCCCGGTGCTTCCATCTATACTAGCGGGGCGGTTTTTCAGTCGGACGGACTGTTTTCTCTTCTGAGGATTTAAAGTTAAGCTCCTTTTAACTCTCGCTTGGTTGCTCTGGGGTCGTGTGTAGTCTGCGGTCGTTCTTTTCTTTGTCTCGCTGTTGCCCATCTTTGCCACGTTTATCTCCACAGGTGAGCGGCAACGGACACACACGGTTGCTGGTTTCATTTACTGAAATCACGTGATTTTCAGTTACGGGGCTGTAACTCTCCGGTTGCACAAGACTGTGTGCCAAAGTGAGGCGCGACATTCCAGGTAACAGGAGGAGGACCTCTGTGGGCGGAGAATACACCTGGAAAACAGGTGGGTCCGTCTGTGAAGGTGAATGTCAGAGGGAAGATGAAGAGCGTCACTGTAAACTGAAGAACAGAATCTGTGAAGAGTAAAAGATGTGCAACTTTCGCCTTTCTGAGAAATTTCTTTGGCGGTAAAACACTTTCAATAATGAAAATATAATAAAGTACAGTATATCGATCGGCCCTGCAGTCAGACGAATCAATCATTAATCTCTGTGCTGATGCTGTTTCCACTCAAACCGACCAGATTCTGTAACTTTTCTCTGTGTTTACCGGTATAAGCTTTGCTCTCTGCTTCTGCTCAGCTGATGACATCCGGGTGGTGTTCAGGGCGGATGTTGCTGTTATGGGATCAAACACGTCCATCATCCACACAGTGCTACTCCTGCTGCTGAGGAGATGATGAAGATGAGACCACGATGAACAAGAAGATGAAAACTGGACTCTGCATCACGGTTATTTAGGCTTATTGATCTTTACTGTGACACTCTGACATGTGTCATAATAATGATATATAACAATACATAATAATAATGTGTCAGAGTGACCTATTTGTAAAAAATATATCCGGAAGTCTTAACTGCTGACCTTGTTTATTTAGCACACTATAAAAATATATAGTGCATATAATAATTCCACATATTATTATTTTGGACAGGGGGAAATGGTGAATATAAACATTATACACTGAATAAGATG